GGTGTATATATATGTTGTGTGACAGGGGTATATGTAGTGTGACATATGTAGTGTGACAGGAGGGTATATATGTAGTTTCACATATAGTGTGACAGGGGGGTATATATGTAACGTGACAGGGGTATATATGTAGTGTGACAGGGGGGTATATGCAATATGACATATGTAGTGTGACGGGGGGGTGTATATATATGTCGTGTGACGGGTATATGTAGTGTGACAGGAGGGTATATATATATATGTAGTGTCACATATAGTGTGACAAGGGGGTATATATGTAGTGTGACATATGTAGTGTGACAGGGGTATATATGTAGTGTGACAGGGGTTGCGTGTCCCCTACACAGGCACATACACAGGCCGATCTGAGAGTTGCCCGGATCTCTGGATGATTTCCTCCCATGTAACACATGTTTGGACTTGAGTTGATTTGATAGGTAAAGTCAGCAGACAAGAGATGTGATGTCCGCTTGGTGTCCACAGGCTGGACGCCGTCATGCAGGACCTGCCAGGAATATGTATGAAGGTGTAGAGGAGAATTGGTACAGTGCAGTGTAAAGGTGCCCATACACTTTACAACCATCGCAAGACCTTAGTCTTGCGATGGTTGCAAAGTGATTAAAAAAACATCTTGGACAGGCAGATCGTACTCTCGATCATCGCAAGCCCGCCCCCCTGAGGGGCGGGCTTCCGATGACCGCAATGCTGAACGGGCAGTGTGCGCGTGCACACACCGGCCCGTTTGGCATTTGTCTCCCGAGCACCGTTCAAACTAGCCGAAAATCGTACGATTTTCGGCTGGTTTTCTAGCGTGCTCCTTAGACAAAAGACGTGCGACAGTAGAAACAGTCGCACGTCTTCGTTCACACTGCTCGATTCTCGTACGATCGTGGGATTTCCCGCGATTCTCGTACGAGAATCGAGCAGTGCATGGGCACCTTAAGGTCGGAGTAAGACGTGTGCTGGTTGGTGGCTCACCTAGCGATCCTTTTGTTACAGAAGAAAGAAAAGGATCCTTATTGTGTAAAGTGTATGAGAAAGTTGTCATCAGTCACATTGGAGTATTCTGTGATGGGGCCTCAGTAACCACCCCTGCCTGCTCCTTCTGTAATGTACATACAGCAGATCATACTCGGATTCATTCACTGCAGTGCCATTGACTCTTAGATTGTTTTTTTAATCTGACAGATTTCGCCATCCACACTAAACAACATGACTGGATGACTCTCCTGCTGTGGCTTTTGTATTCTGACAGTTGGCAGCAGCTGTTGTCTGAATACATGAACAGTGACTGCAGCTAATTGGCTGAAGTGACTGTTGGGCCAGGAATTTTTCCGCTATGATTTTTTAGATAAAAGGATAGAGGGCTTCCAACAGGGCCACCCACAGCGAGAATTTCAAACAATTTGTCAAGAACCAGCCAAAACTGTCTAACTATGAGGGTAAATCACTCCCCTAATAGTTCTCCTTTTAACGTGGACAGGTGACAGCTGCCACTTGTAAACAGTGGATTAGGGATTCCTACTGTAGGAAATAGCAAGTTCCTGACGCGGGGATCCTTAATTGCACCTAATCCTATAGGTGTGAATGGGGTCGTAGGGTTAACAGTTGTCTGCATGAAACAGAGCTTATTTCTTTCATTGCATGTAACCCTTTAAATAAGCCATGCTTATGGTCTGCTCCCCGATACAAGCGACCTAAATTCAAGGTCCCGGTCATATAAGCACATTTATTACCAGATTCCTTGACAAAACATACACAATATGTATGGTTTTTAAGCAATCTGTTCTTTTTTTTTAAAATACCCCCCAAATCCCTATTTTTATATGAAATCTAGTAAACCAATAAACTGTAATGATGACCTTGCTGTAAGACGTATCCTGTGACCCCTCAGAAGTGCTCCCACGGGTGCACAGTGGTTTGGCATGGAGGCACCCAAGTCAGAAGATTGTTGAGGGCGATGGGGGACATATTATTTGTGCTGCAAAGGGACACATTTCAGAATCCATTCAAGCTGTGCAAACTCTACAACAAGCCGCTCACTTTCAAATATTGTATTTTATATGCAGTGTATTCTAGTGGTTTTTGGTGTCCCTTTACAAGTGTTACATTTGGATTCACTTTCAGGATGCATTTTATGATTGTATTCTCACATAACTGACCTTTCACACTTTATTTCATTATAACAAATAGTACCCGGTATAAAATGTGCTGCTTTTATGGCTTCTAGGTGTGTACCAATTATGTCCTGTTCTTCTCTGTGGATGTCTTGGGTTATTGCAGGTGAAACACTGCAAGATTTTGTGAAGTGACCAGGTGACCTAAAACACACCGTTCAGAAGTTCAAATAAAGTGTCTTTTTATTACTACATCACTGACATTCAAGCAACACTTGTACATAGAATTACATGAAGAAAGTACTACTGGTTTTCTACATCTTGATCAACAAGGAGAACACAATGTCCCGTTGTTGTCATTAAAGTGGACCTTTTGCCTAAAATGCAAGGTCCCATTTTTTTCAGTAGACTTCCCCTCCTCCTTTCTAAAACACTGTATTAAAGTAAAAAAAAAAGATAGTGTGCTTACCTTTCCCCTGGCTTTCACCTGCAGTGCCTAGGTGAGAATGATGTCATAAGAGTCTCTCCTTAAATGTAGAGAACTCTAAATGGAAATGTGGAGTACTCTAAATGGGAATGCAGAGTTGTACTCTAAATGGGAATGCAGAGTTGTACTCTAAATGGGAATGCAGAGTTATACTCTAAATGGGAATGTAGAGTTGTACTCTAAATGGGAATGTATAGTTGTCCTCTAAATGGGAATGCAGAGTTGTACTCTGAATGGGAATGCAGAGTTGTACTCTGAATGGGAATGTAGAGTTGTACTCTGAATGGGAATGTAGAGTTGTACTCTGAATGGGAATGTAGAGTTGTACTCTGAATGGGAATGCAGAGTTGTACTCTAAATGGGGATGTAGAGTTGTACTCTGAATGGGAATGTAGAGT